CCCCAGGGACCTGGCTGGAGCACCACAAGTGCTCGAACAGCTGTGCCAGTGGCTCAGCTATGACACTGGCCAGTTCTTTCAGCAGCCGTGGATGGAGGTCATCCGGGCCTGCTGACTTGTACCCATCCAGCTCCGCCAGGAGCTCCTTAACTATTTCAGAACTAACTGTAGGTGGACTGGTGCCATGTGGACATCCGTCAATGATCGAGGTGGGGGAATTGGCTTGGTCGGTACATAGAAATACTGAAGCGAAGAACTCATTGAAGAGCTCTGCTTTTTTCCCCCCCGTGTCAACCACCAACTGTCCTAATTTGTCCTGCAGGGGCCCTATGTTGCTCTGAGCTTTCCTTTTGCCCGCTATATACCTGAAGAAGGACTTTTTATTGTCCTTGGTTGTTGAAGCCAGCCTGAGCTCAAGCCCCGCCTTGGCCTGTCTAACTAATTCCCTGCAATAGCGCACCAGGGAGATATATTCCTCCTGGGTGGCTGCTCCCTGCTTCCATTGCCTATACATCCTCTTCTTTGCCCCCAGACTCTCCTGGAGTTCCCTGTTCAGCCAAGGGGGCTTTTTTGCCCCCTTACCTCCCTTCCTACGTAATGGGATAGACTCCTTTTGAGCCCCAAGGATCACTCCCTTGAGATACCTCCAGCCCTCCTGGACCCCCATGTGCTCTATGTTCTTGAGTTGCATCCCCTCGCTAACTAGCCTTCTAAGCTTGCTAAAGTTGGCCCTTCTGAAGTCCAACACCTTAGCCCCACTAGTTACTTTACCCACCCTTTGCTGGACAGTGAACTCGACCAAGTGATGGTCACTATCTCCCAGGCTACCATGAACTCGCATGTTCCACGAAATCATCCCCTGTTGCTAAGACCAGGTCAAGCAAGGCGCTACCCCTGGTGGGACTAGACACCACCTGGGTTAGGTGGAGGTCCTGCACACAGTGTAAGAACCTCCATGAGAAGCTTGTTTTGGCTGTCTGCTCCTCCTAGCAGATATCTTTGTAGTTTAGATCTCCCATGACCACCGCCTCGCTCACCTGTGTGGCATCTGCTAACTGCCCGGAGAATACATCATCTAGCTCTTGATCCTGATGAGGAGGCCTGTAGTAGACCCCCCAACCAAGTCCTTTTCCCCTGGCCCCCCCTGGATCCTGATCCACAATGCCTCGGTGTTCCCCTCCTCCACCCCTGCCTTAATGGTGGAAGACGTGTACTGCTCCTTAACATAGAGTGCTACCCCTGCAACTTTTTTCCCCACTCTGTCACACCTATACAACCTATACCCCTCAATGCCTACCGCCCAGTCGTGTGTAGAATCCCACCAAGTTTTGGTTAGTCCAACTAGGTCATACTGGGTGCTAGCAAGCAAGAGTGTGAGCTCCTTTTGCTTGTTCCCCACACTCCTGGCATTTGTATAGACATTTTAGTCCCCAAAGGGGGCTCTTGGTGCCCCTGTGCCTTGATGGTGTGTGTTCCCTTTATTACTTACCTGGTGTGATCTGGTGCCTTGTTTATGGCTCACCGACCCCTTAATACTTACCTGGTGTGATCTGCTGTCTTGTTTGTGGTTTACCAACCCTGGGCTCTCTTTGACCACTGGTTCCCCAACCCCTGTTGAGCCTAGTTTAAAGCTCTTCAGAGGAGAACAGCCAACCTGCGGGTGAAGAGATACTTATATCTGGGAGAGAGATGAAGATCATCATCTCCCAGGAAGCCTCCTCCTGGAAGTGCTGGTCATGGCTGTAGAATCCAAAGCTCTCCTGAAGACACCAATTCTGGAGCCGCTGGTTGACTTCCTTGATGCGGGGAACCCTGGCGTCTCCAGCTGCTGCCAACCAGAAGGATGGAAGAAAATACAACCTGTGCTCCAGTCTTCTTGACTATGAATTATATTCATATTCATTCTATCATGGCATTTGCAGACTGAAATCAATTATATAACATTTACATTTGGAGGTGTAGGAGGGCAGGTGATGTTGAGCCCTCAATTTCATCTGGGGGGGACTCGCCTGCCATAAATTTATGAAGGGAGAAAGAAGAATTAATACCCCCCAATGAAATAAACAACAGATGCTGTTAGATCTTAGCCATCACAATGATTTCATTTATTAAACAATTCTCTCTTCCTCATTAGAGAAATAAGTGCCTATTGCATTAAGCAGTGAATAAGGAAAAAATAGGCTCTTCCCTTGGAAGATTTTCAATCAGAAAATGACTTTAAAAAACTGAAACTGAGGGGTTTTCACCTCTGCAATCTCATGACTCTAGGAGGTTGAGTCACAAACTTCTATGTACAGCAAGAGATGGCTGCCTGGGAGAGGTTTTCCATTCATTCTTCCTTGTGTGTTATCCA